TCCTTAAGCCTTAGATAACACCCTGAAACAGTACAGTTCTCCAAGATCAGCCAAGTGTCTGTTCCAGCAGCGGGCTTGAAAATAAACTCACAAAACCTTTCCATAAAGAATACAGCCATCCCTTCTGGATAAATAAACATCTGGAATAATTTGGAGGAGAGCAGCTTCCAAAGCCAAATGAGGTTAGAAGAGGATCTGCATCGCAATAAATTGGCAATCATTGGAACACTTGCACAGACACAGTGAATCAATGCTCATTTCTAGGGATAGGTTGCTAGGAACACTGCGGGATTGTTTACACACATTTCGGGGGAAATCCAAAAGATGAGTATTTAATTGCTTCAAGGTTAAAAGTATGCGTTAGTAACGTGAGTGCTTTCGAGAATGGATTTTTAACCACATCAGAGACAGCATGCGGTGGGCCATATTTATTGTAGGCCCCTCAGCATTGCTCATTTCTCACTTAAGATTGTTCCCATTTTTAAAACAGATCTCTTGGGTGATTTGGGTTGCTGTGAGCTTTCTGGGCTGTCTGGCCATGTTCCAGAAGCATTCTCTCCTGATGTTTCGCCTGCATCTATGGCAGGCATCCTCAGAGGTTGTGAGGTCTGTTGGAAACTAGAAGATGAGGTTTATATATCTGTAGAATCTCCAGGGTGGGAGGAAGAACTCTTGTCTGTTTGAGGTAGATGTGAATGTAGCAATTGGCCACTTTGAGTGGCATTGAATGGCCTAGCAGTTTTCAAGGTCTGGCTTCTTACTGCCTGGGGGAATCCTTTGTTGGGAGGTGATTAGTTGGCCCTGATTGTTTCTTGTCTGGAATTTCGCTGTTTAAGAGTTTTTTGAGAAGTAATAAAGTGGGCATGAGAACGTGCTGATGGCTGAGATATCAACTGGTTTTGTAATAATTAGTATTTATTAGTATTAATTACTAATAAATAATGGGTTGATGTAGGTTTTTTCAGGCTGTATGGCCATGTTCTAGAGGCATTCTCTCCTGACGTTTTGCGTGCATCTATGGCAAGCATCCTCAGAGGATGTTTGCCATAGATGCAGGCGAAACGTCAGAGGAGAATGCCTCTAGAATAAGGCCATATAGCCCGAAAAAACCTACAACCCAGTGATTCCGGCCATGAAAGCCTTCGACAATACATCTAATAAATAATAGTAATTCATTCTATTACTATTGAATAGTAATATTCTGGTCTGGTCCATGAGGTCACAAAGAGTCGAAAACAACTGAACAAATGAATTAATTAATTAGTATTTGTTAGTATTTATTTATCCATCATGGCAGAAGTGCATTGAGGTTCACGTCAGGAGAGAATGCTTCTGGAACATGGCCATATAGTCTGGAAAACTCACTGCAACTCAATGATCCCAGCCATGAAAGCCTTCGACAATATGCCACTGTAATATCATCCATTGCAGAGGCATATCGATTTCCAGAAATCTGCCATCTCTTTTCTCATCCCTTTTTTGGGCCCTTTGTTATTGGCGACTTGCACATGTTTTAGCTGCTCTCGAACATTTGCCATGACTTCTGTCTTTTGTGTCAGCCTCACTGATAAAATTTGCGTCTTTGATATCGAGACCTTCAGTATTGCACTGGGCAGTATTTCGATAACATCACACTTGCACTCGGACTTTGGGAGACTGAGCTTTCCCAACATAATCCTTTCTTTGTCTTTTGTGTTTCTCATCTCATCTTTCATGCCTTTTGCATCCCTGTGGTTAAAATAACTTTCATCTGAGAGTGCCGACTTGCGGCCCACTTCTGGTGGGCCATAAACCAGGCATTTTAATCCAGCAGGGCAGAGACTTGCGCATGCCAGAGACTCTCTGGCTGCAAACTCGAGGCCTCCTGTTTGCTTGGCAAACCACACACAACCCTCACACCCTCTGAGACAAGACCCATTTCAACATCGAGGCTTCCATCTTTTTCTGGTGCATAGTGCTTTTGTTGTCCATTTCAGTTAATACCCCCACTTGATTGCAACAGTATAAATGGGAATGCTCTGTAAAAGAAGGGCAACTGGGAAAAGCCAGTTTGCTGCCCAATTCAATTGTTGGTGGGGTTCAGAATGCTCTTTGATTGTAAGTGAACTATAAATCCCAGCAACTACAACTCCCAAATGTCAACGTCTGTTTTCCCCAAGTACCACCAGTGTTCACAGTTGGGCATATTGAGTAATCGTACCAAGTTAGTTCCAGATCTATCATTGTTTGAGTCCACAGTGCTCCATGGATGTAGGTGAACTACAACTCCAAAACTCTAATAATAATAATAATAATAATAATATAATAATAATAATAAATTTATTTATGTACCGCTCCATCTCCCCGAGGGGACTCAGAGCAGTTCCCAAATAATATCACAAAACATACAGAGTAAAAACAACATAACCATAAGATTAACAAAACAAAACATAAGCATAAAAATTGGCGCCATAACACACATATATTAAAAGTAATCCTGCCTGTTCAAGGCAATTAAAAAAATTAAAAGGCCGGGCCAAGATTTGTGCAAGCCCAGAAATTCTAGGGGACCCAGGAATTAAGTGCAATGCTATGGCAGACAACAATAATATTAGGTTTGTGGCTGTCCATTCTGGGGCCGATTAGGGGAAATGATCTGGGTAATTGGTAGGAAGAATAAGGCCGTATTCGACAATGTGTGGGGCTGAGTTAGAACTGGTCATTTTCAAAGGCTTGTTGAAACCACCAGGTCTTCAAGCTCTTACAAAAGGAGGGGAGGGATGAGGCCTGTCTTATTTCCTTTGGAAGGGCGTTCCAGAGACGGGGGGGGGGGGGCACCACTGAGAAGGCCCTCTCTCTCTCGTCCCCACCAACCGCACTTGAGACGGTAGTGGGACCGAGAGGAGGGCCTCCTCAGAAGATCTTAGAGCTCGTGCCGGTTCATAGAAGGAGATGTGATTGTGGAGATAGGCCCACCAAATCCTTCCAGTATTTTCTGTTGGTCATGACCACTCTATGTTCCAAGTTTGGTTCAATTCCATCATTGGTGGAGTACAGAATGCTCTTTGATTGTAGGTGAACTATAAATCCCAGCAACTACAACTCCCAAATGACAAAATTGATTCCCTCCAACCCCATCGGTTTCAAATTTGGGTGTATCAGGTCTTTGTGCCAAATTTGGCCCAGTTAATGAAAATACATCCTTCATATCAGATATTAACATTACGATTCGTAACAGTAGCAAAATTACTGTTATGAAATTGCAACAAAAATGTTATCACAACATGAGGAACTGTATTAAGGGATCATGGCATTAGGAAAGTGGAGAAACACTGGATTACACGATTACGTAGATCAGTGGTTCTCAACCTGGGGTCCCCAGATGTTTTTGGCCTTCAACTCCCAGTAATCCTAACAGGCTGGGATTTCTGGGAGTTGTAGGACAAAAACATCTGGGGTCCCCAGGTTAGAACCACACTGATGTAGATGGAGAGCACACACTTGTGTCTTGTCAGGGTTAGGCTTCCAGTGGTTATCTTTGGAGTAATCTTTCAGCTTATTAGTAAGTTGATTTTTGACTGTTTCAAAGTCTTTTGCTTGTGCTGTTAGGCCAAGGTCATTAGCTCTTTGTGAGTGTGGCTGTGGCTGGTCGTTAGTAAAGATATTGAAGAAGTGTTGCTGTGAATTTTCCAGGCTGTATGGTCATGTTCCAGAAGCATTCTCTCAATCACGTCCAACAAAGGATCCCCCAGGCAACAATCAGCCAGGCTTTGAAACTACACGGCCATTATATTACATATAATATTACTAATAATATTACAATATAATGGTATAGTACAATATAGTAATTTATTTATTGTGTTAGTGTCAACCAGACAATTGTATTACATTTTTAACAAATTTTTAACAAACCGACAAAACAGAGTTTGCAAGCTTGGTAGTTGATTAAATGTCCTTTGACCAGTATCTGGCCACTTGGAGTGCCTCTGGTGTTGCTGCAAGGAGGTCCTCCATTGTGCATGTGGTAGGGCTCGGGTTGCATTGCAGCAGGTGGTCAGTGGTTTGCTCTTGTCCACACTCGCATGTTGTGGATTCCACTTTGTGGCCCCTTGAGGTTGGCTTTGCATCTCGTGGTGCCAGAGCGCAGTCTGTTCAGTGCCTTCCATGTCGCCCAGTCTTCTGTGTGCCCAGGGGGAGTCTCTCATTTGGTATCAGCCATTGATTGAGATGCTGGGTTTGAGCCTGCCACTTTTGGACTCTTGCTTGCTGGGGTGTTCCAGCGAGCGTCTCTGTAGATCTTAGAAAACTATTTCTTGATAGTTTTCTTGAATATAGTAATATATAATACTGATATTGTACTATGCTAAAAATATAATATATTGTATGTATATATATCTCGTAAGCCATTCTGAGTCCCCTGCGAGGTGAGAAGAGCAGCATATAAATGTCGTAAATAAGTAAATAAATAAACAAAATGCTAATCAAGGTGGCCAGTTGCAACCTTCACACTTTCCTCAAGCAGACAAGAGTTCTTTCTCCCACCCTGGACATTATTCTACAGATCCATAAACCCCACTTGCCTAGTTTCCAACAGACCTCACAACCTCTGTGGATGCCTGCCATATATGTGGGCAAAACGTCAGGAGAGAATGCTTCTGGAACATGGCCATACAGCCCGGAAAACTCACAAGCCATGAAAGCCTTCGGTAACACATGTTAAAGAAGGTCGGTGCAAGAACCCTTCCTTATGCTGGACATAAGGTGGTTTGACTGTCTTACTTTGGCTTAATGGCTTTATATGTCTACTCGGTGCAAATCTATGACAGTGAAAACTCTGTCGAGCTTCAAATGACAATGTAATACTTTCAGTACATACCGATGTGTCCAAAGAGAGTAAGAGAATGTGCAGGCAGAGCTAGGTTTCCTGCTTCCAACTGATAACACAAAACAACCCGCTTTACCCGCTTTGCCTTCAGTTAAGCCCTTTCATTCCTGACATGTCATAATTCCTCTTTCCCCAGATTGTCCCTGAGGATTGAACCAGGAAACAGCTCTCCGCGACTGGTATCTTCAAAGGAAGATCTGGCAGGTATGAAACAAGTTTATCGCACATGTTGACGTTGGCAATATTATGTTACTTAATCCTGAAGTTTCACAAGCCTTTCAGAGCTGCCCCGCATTTTGGGGCCAAAGACCACCCTTTCTGCGAAAGCACCCTGATGTCTGCATGGCCTGTTTGTTTTCCTTTTCACAACGTGTCTCCGATGTTGAGAAACTATATCTTATTTGTTGCAAGGGGTCAGATTCCACAGTGTCCATTGGGAGCAGATCATAACATTCAAAACTATTTAGTTGGGACTAGACTTTTCAGCAGACTGAACCTCGTTTTATCTTCAATCAAGACAGACTGAAAGTCAGATAAATAGAGATAATCAGGTTTCAGTCTTCATATGGGAATGCTTCCAGTTTGCAAATGAATTTTGTGAATATCAAAATGAGATTTAATTTCCTTTGTTTTCAAAACATAGTCAAGTGAATGCTAACAGTGGCGTTAAGGCAGTTAATGTTCACATTCATCAGCAAGTGTCTGATTTTTCTGAGATTGTTGATTGTCTAGGACAGTGTTTCTCAACCTGGGGGTCTGAACCCCTGGGAGGGTTGCAACAGGGTGTCAGAGGGGTCACCAAAAAACATTGGAAAATACAGTATTTTCTGTTGGTCGTGAGGGTTCTGTGTGGGAAGTTTGGCACAATTCTATCGTTGGTGGGGTTCAGAATGCTCTTTGATTGTAGGTGAACTATAAATCCCAGCAACTACAACTCCCAAATGTCAAGTTCTGTTTTCTCCAAGCTCCACCAGTGCTCACATTTTGGCATATAATAATAATAATAATAATAATAATAATAATAATAATAATAATAATAATAATTTATACCCCGCTACCATCTCCTCAAGGTGCGGCTTACATGAGGCCGAGCCCACAGTACATCAGTAAACAAGGCAATAACAAAAACAATAAATACAAAACAATTAATATAAATCATATAAACAAAAATAAACAATAAACAATAACAGTAAATACAGCATTTAAAAATCTATGGCCGGGCCAAATGTAATAATTTAAAATTTAAAAAAATAATGCTGGGCATGAACAAGTTAGGATATAACTGGGATAGGGTTTTTCAAGGAGAGATGAGGGAACGCAGTCAGTCCTAAATCAGTGGTAAAGTGCAATTTTGAGGGCATATTGCTGAGAGTTTTCCTTATTCTGGGAAGGCACACTGGAAGAACCACGTTTTCAGACTCCTCCTAAAGACTGCCAGAGTTGGGGCATGTCTGATGTCCTTGGGAAGTGAGTTCCAGAGTCGGGAGGCCAGCACCGAGAAGGCCTTTTCCCTCATCCCCACCAATTGCACCTGAGAAGGAGGTGGGAGCGCGAACAGGGCCACTCCAGATGATTCATGCCAAGTTTGGTCCAGATCAATCATTGTTTTGAGTCCACAGTGCTCTCTGGATGTAGGTGAACTACAGCTCCAAAACTCAAGGACAATACCCACCAAACCCTTCCAGTATTTTCTGTTATACACAGAGGTGTAGTACAAAGGATTCTCTTGTATCAAATGTCAAAATCAAGGTTCTCTTTGCAATTTTATTTTACTATTATCAAGCAGTAGGTGAGAATATCTATTTTCTATCGGCCCATTATGGGAGGGGGGAGGGCTTCCCACCCAGGCTTCCCTTCCAGACACGTGGTTTAAGGAGAATTTTTTGTGTGGTTTGCTTCACCTACATCTGGGGAGTTGAAGCACTCCCTGCCTGGGGCTGAAGACACCCCTGAGATGGAGATAGAAGTGAAAAGAGGGACTGTGCTCAGGCTGAAAACTAGCCAGCTCTGCCACCAATTCTCACTGTCATTTCCTCCTTCAGTCGGGAAACATACCTTGTGCCACTGCTGAGGTCTCTTCATTGCCGTATGGCCTGTTCCATCTGGCCTCCTTGACCCGGGATCTAGGGCCGGACCCACAGTGGGATCTTTGTCGTGGGGTTGGGAATGCGCTGTGTTCGCTGGCTTGCCCTCCATCACTTTTGCCGGCAGCTTTGCTGGGGTTCGAACTAGAGCCTCCCTCCATCACTCCAAAAGTGTGCAGGCCCAGAAAAGCCCTGGCAGGCGTGGGCACTCTGGGCCTGTCACACACTCTCTCTCCTTGAATAGAAAGTATTATTGTGTAGCGTGCAGGTCCAGAAAGCGCCCACGCCTGCCAGTGACTTTCTGGGTCTGCACTGGCGCGAAGCGATGGAGGGAAGCTCTAGTTCAAACCCCAGGGTATAGGGTTACAGGGTATAGGGTTATGTTGGATGGGGTCACACTCCCCTTGAAGGCACAGGTTCGCAGCTTGGGGGTCCTCCTGGACTCATCACTGAGCCTGTAATCCCAGGTTGCAGCGGTGGCCAGGGGAGCTTTCGCAGAATTAAAACTTGTGCGCCAGCTGCGCCTGTACCTTGGGAAGTCAGACTTGGCCATGGTGGTCCATGCTCTCATTACATCTAGGATATACTACTGCAACGCCCTCTACGTGGGGTTAACTTTGAAGACTGCTTGGAAGCTTCAAATAGTTCAACGAGAGGCAGCCAGGTTAATAACTGGAGTGGCATACAGGGAGCATTCAACTCCCATGTTACGCCAGCTCCACTGGTTGCCAGTTTGCTACCGAGCACAATTCAAACTGCTGGCTTTGGCCTATAAAGCCCTCAACGGCCCCGGCCCAAATTACCTGTCTGAACGTATCTCTCCCTATGAACCATCATGGAGATTAAGATCCTCCGGGGAGGCCCTGCTTTCCGTCCCGCCATTGTCAAAGGCACGATTGGTGGGGACGAGAGACAGGGCCTTCTCGGTGATTGCCCCCCGGCTATGGAACTCCCTTCCTGGTGAGATCAGGTTGGCCCCCTCTCTCCTGTCCTTTGGAAGGATGGTAAAAACTTGGCTGTGGGACCAAGCTTTCATTACAGGGCAAGAAAGCAGCAATAGGAAAGATTACCAGGCCAATTAGACTTGACATGGATGACTAGAACGGTTTTAAATGGTGTATTTTAATATTTTGATAAATGTTTTTAATGTTTATGTATGTATATAAGAACGTATGTCCTGGCATTGAATGTTTGCCATATATATTCTGTGCTCCTCCCTGAATCCCCTTCGGGGTGAGAAGGGAAGAATATAAATGTTTTTAATAAATAATAAATAAAATAGTCCGGGCCCCAGCAAGGCCACCGGCAAACACAATGAGGGGCAAACCTCGGCGAATTATGTAACTGTGATGCCAAAAAGCAGGCTTGGATCTGGTACCCACAAGTCTATGAAGACTATTCTATGGGTGGGACAAAAATGATCTCAAGATATGAAGATAAACTATGTTATAATCTCTGGGAATCGCTTCAAATTTACTATGGCAGAATAAGTTTGCATCTGAATCAGTCACTTAATTTTTTTAAGGGTTAGAGATATTGATTATAGCAGATAATGTGCCAGAAAGGCCTTTGCCCTTCAAGGCCTTTAAGCATGAAACGTCTTTCATTTAATTAGCCTCATTGGTTTAAATGGAGTCAGAATGAGCAACGGGTTGAAATAATAAGCCTTCTGTGTTGGTGTTGATTCCATTTTCGGTTATTGCTCAGATGCTTCCCTTTCTGCCCCTGGATATGCATAAACAATCCTTTTTCTCTGTAATTGCCGGTTGGCTGACGTATCCGCGTTAACCGTGCTGTATCCTATTTCTATGATACGCATGAAAATGAGGAATGCACCGTTTTCCTACTTACCTAATTCAAGAAGTTTGTTTTTGGAATTTGAAAGGTGCTATAAATACGCCTAAACCAGACTAAACAAATTGAGGCATGCAAACCGATATGGTAGCCATGATCACGAAGGCAATTTCTACTTTCCCAATCGACAAGGCGGCATCCATGGCACTGAATATCTCGTCATGGTAATGTTATTTGCCTTTGCAAATAGTCTTTGTGCCTGCATGGGTTTCTATGAAAATGGCTTTATTCTCCAACATAATTGGTTTTGAAAGGTTAGAGAAAACCATCTGTCTGCCTTTCAGCCGGCATAAATCAGACCTTAGTGGTGAACAAGACCAAAGGTATCTCTCCCAGCAGAATAGTTTTATAGTGGTATAAAGCAACTTGAAAGCAGACAACGATACTTCATTTCTGCTGACCTTTGTTGTGTATGTGGCCAGACCATTCTTACATCTAGGGCACTGTTTCTCAACCTGGGGTTCGGGACCCCTGGGCGGGTCACGAGGATATTTCAGAGGGATCCCCAAAGACCATCAGAATACATATACTTCTGATGGTCTTAGGAACCCCTTTTGCAGAGAACACTGAAGATCTCTGCCTGTCCTTCTCTTCCTTTTTGGAAACAGACGGCAAATCCCCCCACGAAAAGCCCTCCTCCGCCATGATTGGCCGGCCTCTCAGCCAAGGGGAGGGCTGTGTCTGAAAATCCAAGTGAGGATGAGAGATCAAGCGTGCTCGGTGCATTGCAGCATGGTTCACATTTATGGGCAAGGGAGAGCGTGCAAAGCCGGAGGAAGGCTCATGCCAGCAAGTCCCTTCAAGGCATGGGGATTCTGTGTGGGAAGTTTGGCCCTATTCTATCATTGGTGTGTTTCAGATTGATTGATTGTAGGTGAACTATAAATCCCAGCAACTACAACTCCCAAATGTCTATTTTCCTTTAACTCCACCAGTATTCGCATTTGAGCATATTGAGTATTCGTGCCAAGTTTGGTCTAGATCCATCATGGTTTGAGTCCACAGAGCTCTCTGCGTGTAGGTGAACTACCACTCCAAAACTCAAGGTCAATGCCCACCAAACCATTCCAGTATTTTTTGCTGGTCATGGGAGTTCTGAGCCAAATCTAGTTCAATTCCATCATTGGTGGAGTACAGAATGCTGTTTGATTGTAGGTGAACTATAAATCCCAGCAACTACAACTCCCAAATGACAAAATCAACCCCCCACCCCATCAGTATTCAAATTTGGGCATATTGGGTATTTGTGCCAAATTTGGTCCAGTG